ACCTTGGAAACAGCTTTCTTCTAGGCTCCTCTGTGTTTTTATTCGACTACTTATTGCATGCCGAGACATAGTTTAGTCCCAGCAAACAATTTAATCATTTAAAGTTGATTGATGCACATATCTGTATGCTGAATACTTTTTTTACTATCTGTAACCAACAACAGGGCTTTTTACAGCGACGCATACACTTAAAAATCGCCAACGAAATAATCGAGTTTGTCAACAACGTTTCTTACAGCTTAGTGGTTTGCTTATTGTAAAAATACCTGTTTCTTCAAATCCCGAACAATGATTTTCTCACTTCATAAAAATTGAGATTTATATAACCATACTTTTCATACGCCCATAGTCTTTTTGGGAGTTTCTATAAGTCACTTATGGCAAGGTCGTTTTCCCAACGAATCATGTCTATGTAAGGTCATGGTCTTGTGGAAGGAAAATTAGAGTAATGTTACAGAGTCTTACTCTAGATAATCGCGTTTCACAAAATTGATTTTTATCGAATAACATTTCTACCTTAGTAACAGGCTGAATTAATTGGACCCGTGTGCAAATGCGAGAGTTAATCTAACGTGTACTTTACTTATTATCTGGAAACAGGCAGGAAATATCCAGAAGTTTGCCGATATAAATGCGAAGAAGGAGAATGCGTCCGCTGCGATAAGACGGACTTTTTACGTGGAGGATCGGGCTGTTATCGCAAAGAGGCCTGCGCTGCGTTGTGCGCGAGGTAAGTGTTTTCTACTTTTCCTACCGTTTAAGTCATTATTCACCTGATTGACTGATGGCTCGAGTCTATAAATCACACCCAAATGTCATTATTACAGGATTAATATATCGTCTTATAATACTGGATATTCAGATATCATGTAGTACTGCAGAAAGGAGAGGTCTTCCTGGGACGCACGTGTTTTGCGTTTGCACATTCGGGCAAAAAGGCCCAGATAAGAGACTAGCTAAGTCAGATTCCAGTTCTTCTAAAACCAGAGGATATTCACCAGCATTCTTGAAGTATCGCCGGTGACCGCCTACCGACCTGGATCGACAGGCCAACAACCTCACACTATGCACGTGGATCGCCAGGGGTTTGGGTCACACAGGAACCCTATTTGACAGAATACCGTCCCACGAGATGTCTGAAGGGATCTATGCTCAACATGGGAAAAGAACCTTTTTCATAGATGTATAAACCAATTATATTAAATTGGCCAAATCGGTCGGCGTTAAAGATGAGGATAAGTTAATAAAAGGACTGGTCGAACACCGAAACAGACTGTTTATTTTTTCACCCTCAGAGATAGCAGCAGCAACAGAAAAAACGACAGTTATAGGGCGTGTAGGCAAATCCTAGATCGATGTTGCAAGACCGAGGATGCCTGTGCAGGGCTCTGTACGCCGTCGGCAGATCGATAAATCGATTAATTGAGTTCTCATCCAACATCCAGGCTTCAGTCCATTCTCGACCTGTTTTGTTTCCGTCGTACACGAGCATCTAGTCTTGTGCCGTCGATAATAATTGAGTAGTACGCCAAATAGTTGTCGTTGGTTATGTCATGCGAATTTCTCGGATTACTTCCATACGGATGTTGGAACTGCAAATGAGCCCAAAAAAACTTACTAATGGAACTAACCGTGAACCCGGCAGCGATGGCTCTGCACCAAGCGTGCTGAGAAACGCAATGGCATGTTATGCTAAAAAATCCCTTTCTTTTTGTTATCTTCCAAATCTCTTTGTTCTACTGTTAAGACTAGCTGTTTTCTTGCTAGGATTAAAACTATCTTGTATCTGTGGCACGTTCTGCAGCATATGTCTGCATCCCCAGTCGTTCAACATATTTTCCGCGCCTCGATATGCTAACACTAGTAGGCGCATTCTTAGGCGAAGCAATGAATTATTTTATTCGCGGAAACTTGGCTTAAGATTTCCGATTGAACTATTACTTATGCGACTTGAGTAGAAATGTCTGCAAATCCTCACGTTTTTCTTTTATTTTAGACGAAATGCGTTACCTCCGCCCTGAGTCACTGTTTGGAGTCATCCCCATCAAAATTAACTAGACTTCATATTGTTTGCTTGTTATTCACTTACCTTCATTAAAAAAATTTGGTTATAATTGTATCAGCTAAACAGGCGTTCGAAGTAGTTATATATGGTGAGCCTACAAAGCCCACATGAAATGTTTTCTGGTCTTTCTCCGTCTATATAAGAGAAACAGGGCTTACATTTCAGTCTATTGGAGACAGATCCAGTCGTACACAAGCCAGAGGAGTAACTCTGTGACATCTAGGCATCATGGAGTGACGAGACCATCTGAGAACTCACTCAAACTTACTATGCGGACGACTGAAAGTGTGCTCCGGTTCAAGACACAGTGTTTTGCATGGAGCTCGGGGTAATTGGGTCATCAGAAGCTGAGCGGCACTTGGAACCCACGGAATCTAAGAAGACTCCAAAACCGCGCGTTTTATACGCAAGGCTGCAGAGACCCTATACCTCAGCCGGCAGCTGACGATCATCTGGGCTGATTGAAAGCGTGTTCAATAAGTTCAAAGTCCTGCTTGGATTTTATTGAACGCCATGTGTATCACGGAAGTCGAAGGTGTTCTAGGTGCCTGGAAACTTCAAACCCATGCCTCTTAATCGACCATTAACCTAAGCGGTACAGCTCAGTTAAGGAAAGGCATTATTGAAGTTAACTACATGCCGACCAGTTTTCACTTCGACATGCTCATCTAACAACTACTCGCGGGACTTTTCTCTGAGTAGAGTCTACATGACGCTTCAACGCATTCAGTCTCTGGGATGAAAGGTTGAGCGGGGCTTTTAAGTTTGGATATATAAGTAATGGATTACATTTTCACCGGACAAACATAACCCTACCTGCAGCTTCGGTACATACACCCGTAAAACCGCCATGAGTTTGGAAGCGTGGTCGAAAACCGAGCACCACTGAATATCATAGAACAGTTTCGGCGTTTCGCAACATTACGCCAGAACGCCTGCTTTAGTGTTAGTTCAGCAGACGTATATTTGCCCTATGCGGGGATTGTGTGTGTACGCATGAATATATTATCCTACCTGATGGTATAGTATTACCAGTGCTGTAATAGCAGCTTTTCTCTGGCGTCTGACACATTGGCAGTGAGAAACTTGACACTGATTTCAATGGAAAAAATATGGATAATTATGCTAGAATTGAGTTCTGTATGAGCAAAAGCTGTGTAATAAAGGTTGAAAACACTGGTATGTAAAAAAGAAATGGTTTTAACGTCCACTGACAACTCGTTCTTTCACATAAGACGCTTGTGACCGAGATATCGGCAAACTCAAAATTAGCGGTAACAGATTAAAGAGTGATCTCCGGGCTTCACAGTGCAACATCCGAAATCAGATCGAAGGGAGGCTTCCGAAAAGATACACTCTCGAAGAAAACAGTTGATTCACGAAGGGATTTAGAGAAGCTGGGCGCGTTTGTAATGAGTGCATGGTGGAACTATAAAGGTAGATAAGGAAGCGAGTACGGAGCGTGATTATAGTTGGCATTAGTTGCCGTGGACGCCCGGGGAAAATTTAAAAGGGCAGACGGACCATGATGTATCACGGATCAAAAGGGGATCTTGATGAGGCTGAAAGGCGAGCGAAACCGAGATCATTTAGGGTATGTCTCTGGTAATCTGTCGGAAAGGTGTATTTGACAATACGTCGTCTTCCCAGAGTGGTGTAAGAATTTTCACGTATATAATTTACGCTTAATAATAGATATTCTCACAGAAACAAGCAACTGTTAGTGTCACAGGTAACAAAAACAGTTCGGACAAAACTTTCACTTACAAATGGGGCTACCCAGTGTGCAATTTGTATGACGACACACGGGACAGTAGTGGGAATAATCTGGTACCTGCTATGTGATAAGTGAGATGGCAATATCATATCACTCACTAATCAGCTGTCATATGGAAATGACGGAATCTGGGTTTGTAAATGTGGTATCAAAAGAACACCGCAAATTTTATCAGACGGATTGTGTTATAGCTGGCAGAACTAATGCATTATAATAACGAGGCCAGATAAAGGAACCGGGGGTGTTTTGATGGGGAAGGCCGATTACATTATACAAATACAGCCAATCCCGTGGAAACCGGGAAAGTTCGATTGGACAGACTAGGTTGAAGCACAGCCGACTGACTGTTGAAAAAGACCTCAATTAGTTGTTTTTACAAGTCCACACGACCTAGAGCATCACCGACCAGGGAGAAACTTAGACTCGCACAGTACAAGCTAGGACCACATAGCTGCCGGGATATCTTCGAATTCGTTAACGGCTTAAAAGACCTCGACTAAAGCGGGATGGTCTTGTCACTTTAACTAACTTATGGGTCACAAAAACCAACCATTACTTCTGTGAAAGCGTTGTTTCCAATCATCGGGTACGGGAATGCAGGCGTGTGCTCTCAAGGACTTGCTATTGAGATGTTAAGTGAGTAACCGATCTCATGAAACGTTTGCTGAAATCCTGAAATGTATTTTCGATTAGGAAGGATTACTTACACGCGGCTGTAATACTGACTATCTTGTCGTATAATTCTATAATATTTCGGATTCAGTAGGATATCAGCTTTTGAATGCACTGCTTTTCAATCTTTTATAGAAACCGTATTTGGTGAGAAATGATTACTTATGTAGCATGTATTTTTCCCGTTGATTTTAGGTGGTCTTGCGGATTCAGATATAATTTATAGAAACTGTTAACAAAAATTTGCTTCGACACTACTTCACCTCTATATACGACCAGAAAGTGTCTATGCGGATTAAGGTCGAATGGAATCGCTATGCAAAGGATTTAGATAGGCGTTTCGCCGGTTTATGTGCGAGTGTGGAAGGCGAAAGCCCTAAAGCTCTATATCAAGTCATGTGTCTTCAAAATCGATTTTAATAAAATAGAGATAATTTACAGGGGTCTATACAGAATGACAGGCATCTGGCAATAATGAGTCCACACTCAGCCCTCCCGGGCATCCAGTTCGGCCTTGGACACGCCCTTGGTTTTGGGCATTTTGCGCGTAGTCTCCTCGATCTCCTTCGCCTTATAGTAGTGCGGAGCCACTTCCAGAAGCCAACGCGGTTCCACCTCCGTGACCTGACGCATAAACTCCTTGGTGGTGAAGACCAGCTCGTGATAGATGACCCAACGCGGCTGTTCCTCGGCGAGGGCGGAGTTGGGGTGCGGATGGATGGTGTGATTATGTTTCACAGTCTTGTACCCATTGCCGGTGAAGCGAGCAGTGTGGTAGAAGAAGCCCGCGGTCAGGGCCTGAAAAGAGTGCGGAGAGAAGGGTGTGTGTGGGGGGGGGGTTAGACGGCTGAAAGTCGGCTGGGACGACGAAACGCGAACTGTCACTGAATAACTTACCTTTCTGATGCTAACGTGATCGCCGGGATTGCTCTTTGGCAAAATTTCAACGCGCTCCAGCAGGTTGACAAACTGGTCGCGAATGTCACGAGCACGCTTCATGGTGCGGTGTTGTATGAAGTGTTCGTAGCACCACTGTGCGGAGAAATCTGAAGACACAACAGTGCAATAATTAGGGTCCAGGTTTTCAGTGCCAGAAAAGAACGACAGACAAGTGTACAGAAAATGTTTTTGAACGGTAGGTGGGCTAACCCATGAAATATCAACCGAAATTCCGAAATGCGTTTTCGTATCGAAATTGTAGATTAAGTAGGGTTGTAAAACTGATCATCTTACAGCATAATTACATAATAAATCAGTTACTACAGGATGCCTGCTTTTAAACGAACTTCTTTCAGGCTGCATGCGAATACCACACTCTGCAAAAAATTACTACGTAAGTAGCGTGAATTTTTCTCGTTGATTTTTGATGCCCTTAAAAATTTAATTAAATTTCATAGAAAAAATGCATAAAATATTCATTCTATGACCATTCGGTAGCAAATTACGTCTTCTTCCAACCTTATACTCGAAGGAAGGGTATAATTTGATTTTTAAAAACTTTCCCGATTATCAAATAATTTTGAAACCGACCTGCCGTTACACTTTCATTCGGGATTTACAAACTAAAAGTCGCATATTTTCCGCGTATTAAGAGGAGATAATATGGGGTTCATAAAATGCAGCAGTGGAGCCCGTGAAGACAGATTTCGTATTGTTTGTTAAAACCCAAACAGTAAGGTATCTCTTGAAGAGTAGCGAGTGTTTCTTGAAGTAGCGAGTGTTTAAAGCGTACGGTTCCATATAGAAGGTCGTTTGAGTCACATTGGGAGACTCACCCGAACATGAAACCTCATTGTCGAATACAATGAACGTCCACAACAAGTCAACAAGGAATAAGCTTTAATCGATTAGAAAACTGTCTCTAATAATTTAACTTTTACAGTTTTGCTTTAATACTGCATTCCGTTTACGGATGTCTGTGCACTTTACATTTTTACACCATGAAGTCAAGAGAAAATTTGGCCCTTTTGGCCGATTCTTTCACGTGGCTAAAGCAAAATACTAATATTTTCCTACCTCAAAGATAACAACATGCGCATCTCTTTACATTGCTATATGTGTTGACCTTTAGGCTCCGTTCTACGATTGTGAATGCACGACAGAGTGGCCATATAAATACTGATATTTTGCTGAAATTGTGAATGTTTGCTCGTTCCCGTTGCGAAGATTACCTAAGTAAGTTTGTAGAACTAATCGTCGTGCAAAATAATTCAATAATAATTCAGTTGCCACAGGATGCCTGCTTTTAAACGAACTTCTTTCAGGCCGTATGCGAACACCACACTCTGAAAAAAATTACTACTTAAGTAGCGTAAATTTTTCTCCCTGGTTTTCAATGCCCTTAAAATTTCGATGATATTTCATAGACAAAATGCATAAAAGCATTCATTCTTTTGCTCATTCAGTAGGAAATGACGACTACTTCCAATTTTATACTCGAAGGAGGGGTATAATTCGATTTTCAAAAACTTTTCCAATTCCTGAATAATTTTGAACCCGACCTACCGTTACACTTTCATTCAGGGCTTCCAAACAACAAGTCGTGTGTTTTCCGCGTACGGAAAACCATGCATTTTTCTACGGTATTAAGAGGAGACCACATGATGTTCATAAAATACAACAGTGGATTGGAGCTATATTGTTAACTTGACAAGCCACATTAGTAAATGCAGAGACATGACGTTTTATGGACGGCCATTTCACGGCATTAAAAAATTTCACAATTAGAAACTTTTTAAAACCGAATTATACCCTTCCTTCGAGTATAAAATAAGAAGACGCAATTTTCTATGGAAGGAGCAAGAAAATGAATATTTATATACATGCATATCGTGAAGTATAAGTGCATGTTTAAGGACATCGAAGACCAATGAGAAAAATTTATGCAATTTAAGTAGTCGTTTTTTACGGAGCATGATTCTTGCATGCAGCCGGAAAGAAGTTCTTTCGAAATCCGGCACCTTGAGGTAACTGAATTATTATTAAGTTATGTTGTAGACTGATAAGTTTTACAACCCTACCTTTTCGAAACGAGAACACATTACGGAATTTCGGCTTACATTTCATGAGTTAGCCCACCTACCGTATGTTAGTGCGAGGAATGTGATGATGATAAATACTGTCATCAAGTATACACTAGGAAGGAGCCACGTTTTCAGTCCTGAGGGCCGAACTACTATTGATGCCCGTAATATGCCATCAACGCTGACAGTCAGTGTGCATAGACATCGCAATACAAGTCTACTAAGACAAAACGGTCAACCAAATGTTTGCGCAGACCTCTCAAATTTACGATCGCTGGTGTAGGCCACGACTCACTGTTACGAAGACGAAATGACCGTTCTGGATTCCTACAGGTGACCTTATCCATGAAAAGCGTCGAAATGTACGAATAATTACTAATCACTCGAAAACCGACGCCAGTGCATGGCACCGATAGCTATTTTAATAAATAACAACTTTAATGGAATCAAAAACATAAAATACACGTCTAAGGTAATGTTAAACTGTTTAGAAATACCAATTTTTTAAAAAAAGCGAAAACGTTCGAAAACGTCAAAAGTGATTGTAATTCTGTAAACTATAGTTGTCGATGTACAGAAGGCCCGTGCATGCAAAACACTGAGAATAACCTCTAAAAATAATCTGTCAGTGAAGTTAACATTTAAATATCCCTTAAGAAATCGTGTAATTTCAGATATGGCGGTTAACCAACGGCCTACATTCTGAGTATACGTTCCAAAACGGTTTCCCGAAGATTCGCAGTATTCTTTACGCTTTTGAGTTGATGGAGACGCGGCTCCGTAAGACAGACAGGAGTTTGCTTGATTTCTCCGATTGGGGCGTCATAGGAACATAAGATTTAATAAAGGCATAGGTCTCCAGGCCGGTCAGAAATGAATAAATCTAAACAGGAATGACAGGTGTAATCGTACACATTCCATTTTGTGTATGTAAGGAGAATTTTTTTCGTAAAATTAATTCGCACTTTTCACTTGTACTGGGTAACACTGAAGGTCAGATGCGTCTTGAAATGTCTCTGAATACTTCATAATTTTCAGTGTTGTCGACCGATTGTCCGTGAAGACAGATTCCGTATTGTTTGTTAAAATCCATACGGTAAGGTATTTCTTGAAAATATTTACCAAAGTAGCGAGTGTTTCAGCGTACTTTTCTGAGTCCCATTTGGGGACTCACACGAACACGAAGCCTCATTGTCGAATACAATGAACGTGCACAACAATCGATTTGAAAAGTTTCTCTAATAAGTTAACTTTTAAAGTATTGCTATAATACTGCATTGCATTGACGGATGTCTGTGCACTTTACAGGTTTACACCATGAGGAAAAGAGAAATTTCGGCACTTTTGGTCGATTCTTTCACGTGGCTAAAGCAAAATACTAATATTTTCCTACCTCAAACATAACAACATGCCCATCTCTTTATACTGCGTCCATTTTTGGTATATTTGTTCACTGTAAAGCTCCGTTATACGGCAGAGTGGCCATATAAATTTTGATATTTTGCTGAAGTTGTTAATGCTTTGCTCGTTCCATTTCCCAATTACGTGGGTGTAGAGGCCAGACTGCATGAAAAGAAATGTTTTGAATATTTCAGACTGAAAATAGTGGTAGTCACTTTGGTGTCAAAACATAACATTTTCCAAAGGGTCAGAGAATTTCGGCCCATTTCAACATGTGTTACTTCTGCACTTTAGGGCACCAGATGCCACAGATTTTATAATCTGACTTTTCAGAGGCTGACTTCAAATAATCAACTTTGACCCAAAAGTGAAAAACGATAAATCTGACTTAAAAATTGATAAAATGTCGGGCTTATAAGCAAGTTGACTTCCACAGTTAGTATTGGACAAAAACTCCATTTTTTCAGTGCGGCAAGCTCTGTCTAGTAAAAATCTCGAGAGAAAGCTGGCCCCTTCTCAAAGAAAAACACGCTCAGATACGTAACCGAGGTCCAGGACAGGTATTAACATAGAAAATAAGCCCAATATATCGCGACGTCCATTTTCGCTAAAAATTTGTGGAAATTCTGCCTGATAAAATTACGCAGTCACATTTTCTGCACAACAAGATGACATTTTCTTGAAGAGACTGGACGAGCAAGCAAAGTGCGCAAAGTCCGAAACTTTTCCTACCAGTTTCTGTCACCAGGCCTCATGAGATGGGCCACGTACTGCACGTGCAGTAGATGTGCTAGCTTATGAAATGTTAGCCGATATTCTGAAATGTGATCTTGACTCAAAAAGACTACTTAAGTAGGGTTGCACTATTTGTCACGGTGCAGCATAATCGCATGATATTTCAGTTACTTCAGGATGCCGGCTTTCGAACGAACTTCTTCCCGGCCGCCCGCAAAAATTGAACTCTGCAAAAAAGACTACTCAGGTAGTATGAGTTTTTCTCATTGATTTTCGATGCCCTTATAAAGCCAAACATATTTCATAAGAAAGTGCGTAAAAATGTTCATCATTTTACTCATTTAATAGAAGATAACATATTTTGAACTGCAAGATTCTTATTTTCCGTACACAAGAAAATATATATTTATCAACAGTATTAAGAGGTGACCATATGGGATCCAGTAAATTTAGCAGTATTGTAAACTTTACAAGCAACATTAGTAAATGCGGAGACACGAGGCACTTCATGTATTATGAAATTTGAAGACGTAATTCTCTACCAAATGAGTCAAAGAATGAATACTTTTATGCACGTTTTCTATGAGATATATGTGATTTTATAAGGGCATCGAAACTCAATGATGAAAACTTATATTACATAAGTAGTC